CCCCCCCGATGCCAGCCTCGGTTCCCCTCACACACAACCCAAGACACTCACATTATTGACGCTGACAATGACACCCGTGGATGCGCAGCCCCTGCTGATCTCCTCCACCGCGATAGAATAAGCCAGGTAGTCGAGGCCTGCTCCCTTGTACTCCTCCGGCACATCCATAGCCAGCAGCCCTAAGCCACCCATCTTCTTCACCTGCATGTAGGGAACAGAGAAGTAACGGCCTCTGCACCACCCGTGTCCCAGCAAACACAGGCAGACACATGAAGGTAAAGACAGGTCACAGCAGGGCTACACATGGGGGAAAAGATGAGCACAGCTCCTGGTGAAGCGGGAATCTGACTGTACGAACTGGTAGGTGTCCCCAGGTCCCGATGACTTCAACAGGAGCTGTACGCAGTCACTGCTGCCTAAGATGAAACTCTTGCTTATTTAAAGAGCTCTCTTCTCTACCAGGAAAGAGGGAGCCTTCTGAAGGTGAATGACGGAGATACAACCCCACCAGCATTTCCTCAGCCTCACACCGAAGCTGATCCCCTTGCATGTCTCCTGTCAGTCAGGAGCTCTCAATGGGAAATCTAGCAAATGAAAATCATTAGAAGTTCGAGTCTGCTGAGCTTCAGCCTAGGACTGCACAAGGAAAGAATTTTATAGAATGACTGACCCACAGAACAGTTTGCAAGACAGTGATTTTTTTGTTCCTTTTAAAGCCAGGCCTTGCTTCCCAGAGAATTTAGTTGTTGGTTACATTCCAAATTATTCCATCCCAAGTTCCTCAGCTGGAGCCCCGGCTTCTTAACTGTAAGCTCTTCAGAGCACCGACTCTCTCACTCTACTTTTCTTGTTAACATTTCGCAACATACAAGAGAAAAAACAGGCTTTCCTCTGTTTTTATATTTAAGGTGTCAGGCTTTTGGTGTTGCAGAAATAAGCCTGTTACCAGCCTCCACTTGCGTTAAGATGAACCAAGAGGAATTTTAAAACAAATATTTTCCCTCCTGTATGGGCACGCCAACACCAGCCCTTCGCATCAAATCCAGGGGACAAACAAAAGACAGCAACTGGTTCTATTGTATGCTGCTTTATCTGAACACACACTATTTACATTTCGAATTTGCCCCTACGCATACAAATGAAATGACTCAAAATCAAATGTAAAATTCTCAGATAAGAACAGTGAAGTAAGGAGGAAAGTATTTGCTCCTTAGCCTGAGTATGACTTTCCTGGCTATCTTCCCCACTCCTGAACAGAAAGAGGTGCACACGACAAAACCCACGTGCCTCTGCCTGGAGCCTTTCGCCTAACGTAACAGTGCGCGTCCCCCTGGAGCTTGGTGCTGCCCTGCAGTGACTCAGGTGAGCTGTTCTGCTCCGCACGGCACAGAACGCACGGCTGCGCCCGTGCTGCCTTCCACCAGAGCACGCGCAGCTCTGGCTGGGACCGCAGCTCCCTCACAGCCCCGCAGGGTGACCAGCACGCACCTCCCACCTCCCGATCCCTTCCTTTCACCACGTGAAACGCACTCGGGTCACCCGCGCTTCCTGGCTATAAACCATTCCGATGGTCATGTGCAGTCTATAAACGTATTTCACCGATTTCACCTGTCAGTTGTGTTCCAGCCCACGCGAAAGTCGGTAAAAGAACTGAAAACTCAGCGGTACCCAAGCCAGCTACGGAGAAACGCCAG